AGTACCGTAGATTTGATGTATTAGTTATGTGGTTTAACAAACTGCTTCCGAACTTCATTCTCCATTCACTGGTTAAATTAATATTTTTTAACACTAACATTAATATTTTTTTTGTTTAATTAATATCTCCGAATTTGTTTGCAATGTTCAGAAGGTATCATCAGTATATAGATGTTTCAATTGTTTTTCAAGCTTTTCTTGCTGTTTTGTGATACATTTTTGCTAAAACTAGTTTCCAGTCTTATTTTTAATTTATGTTGGTCTGTTTCAAAAATGTTCAAAATTCAACGTATAATAATCATTTTTCGTTCGGCAGTTCCCGAAAAAAAATAATTTAGGGATCATAACGTTAGTTTCAAGTTTCCTGTGGCAATAGGAAAGTATCTAATGGTTCTTATTGGAACTTCGTATTTAAATGGGACCAATTATTTGAGACTTAGAATGGAGCCAAATTAAGGACTATATTTTGTTTCACATTTGTTTTTGCTACTTTTATTTATGGATGCATAATAAACAATAAAGTGCTCATGCTTTGAGAGTTCTTAATTCTTATCTTACAATCCAAGCAACTATTAAATAAGGGCGTAAAACTACCTTATCAATTATACATATGACTGCTGAAGTTACACCTGATTTTGTTTAATAATGCAGGTAATTATTCAGTTGATTGCAAAGATCATTTATCGCTTGATGCCAAAACATTAAAATAATAACGAACTGAATCAAAAAATTAAATTTAATGATTAATTATATGTCTCCCGTTTGTTAATATTCTAGGTGTTATATTTATCTTAAATCATTGAACTAAATCATTCATTTGTGTCTCAACCTACACCAATGCTCAGCGTAGACTTAGTTAAGGTACGTCTGAGGCATGCTCACGAGTATGCAAACTTGTGATTTTATCGAAACTGACACGAGTCCACTTAATTGAATTTCGTGCCTTTTGGCCTTTAATTGGAGCAAAGTAGAAAGTCGCCCTGTTATTGGAAACTGCCTGAGAATAATGGCAAAAATCATGATTAATAGGCGACATCATTACGCCATGTTGCTATGATTTATTATCGGACTAGGAGTCCGTTTCCAATTTAGATTCTGGGACATTCAAACTCGTTTAAAGAGAAATATTTAGAGCATATAATACGTATTCAACTATAGAATTAACTAAATGATTAACATTTTCATAGATGTTTGTAATTTTAATTCAAAACGTCAGCTTACTTACATGGTTCGGATTAGATGAAATTGATGTGTTTTCTTGCGTATACTCATATCTGAATTAAGTTAAGAAATTTATGTCAAACTATCAATCTATGTTAAATTCAAGGAGTTTGCGAAGTGTTCAAGATTTTGAACTATTTCATTCTTTCAATCTCTAATTTTTCAATATCCGTTCAAAATTCGGCTGTAATATTCATTTGCAATATTTTAAACTTTTCAAAAACTTTAAAACTTTAAAATTGTTCAATAATAATGTTTCTACTACTATTAAAAATTTCGGAATATTTTCTGCCAAAGTAAGATCCTTATATTTTTTTGCTTGCAAATGTACGTTTCGATGAATTTGTGTAAACGTAAGTAAGTGTTTTATAAGGAAGGTAAAAAGTTGATAATAATTGAGGTGTAGGAACATTGCCATTAATTTGATATATTAAAATACGTATTAAAATTGCATTGTTGAAGCCGATACGCGATACTTTAAAAGGTACTTTCGCTATTTTTGATCCCGTTTGATTTCATCCATACTTATATAAATGGTAAATGTAGAAACCACCGCAAAATAGAAGTTTTTCGCGTTTTTTTAAACGTGTTTTTTGCCCTGTTTTAACATTCCCCTATCACCTATTAAACTATTAGAGGAACTTCAAACGATAATTAAAACAGTAATAAAAGCAGCCGAAAAATTCAAGATGCTTCTCTTATATCTAAGAATCATATACTGCAATAATACACAACTTAATTGACCAAACGGACCACCTTGGAAGAAGTGCCTACAATGCCATCGACAGTGACGGATTTGATGTAGATTTTAAATTACGATCTTAATTTTTCCTTATTATTGGGCGACACAATATATTCACAATTATGTTCAACTTTTATTATAAAGCTGGTCGAACGAAGAATACAAGTCACGTTGGATTATTCTCCGACATACGTACAACTGGAAAAGAGTTWTAAATATATTTTAACATGCTACTGTTTCATATATGATCAGTCTTTTTCAAATTTGTTTTTCTCTCAAAACTGAGGTTCTTGAGCATATTGACAGAAAGACATATATTCTTATCTGAGACATCTAAAGAAATGTTATCAGTTACTGGTTATATGTATTACATAAATTGATTGACTTATCAAGCATCATATGTTAAAAACACAATTAAGAAATTATGAAGGAAGCATAATTAGACTGATGAACTAAAAGAGCTATTTTACATTCAGCAAGGAAATGACTCGAACATCTTTAAATGTACGATTCTCCAAAATGTAAGAATGTGTTTGCATTCATTGCTTTTTGCTGGATATCGGTAATGCAACTTTAATATCGTGAATTAAAAAAATGACCTACATTTTTGTTCTTTCAACATATTGAATATATTCATAATTTTTCCCATATCCATATGATACTTGAAGTAAGAAGTGTGAAGAAAGAGATGTAAAGCTTCACGTAAAGATAAAAACTTTACAATTCATACTTTTATCGAAGCAGTCATTACTTTCATAAGGAAAATAAATGTTTAATTATTACAATCAATAGAAGTAGTGAAAAAATAAATACCTACTCTGCTAATAACCTTTGAAAATTACATATTAATTAGCAATTAAAACTGTATCCCTATTCCTTATATTAAGCAAAGACCATTGATTGAATTATTAAACTGTTAAGTTTTTTCAAATATAAACGAAAGAAGACTGATCGAATTGAATAACATCTTAGAAATATTAATAAATATGTTGTAATGTTTTCAAGTCTTTTCAACAATTCTTCGTTTTAGTCATGGATTAATAGGGCCAGACCATCTCTGATAGACCCCAAAACCGAACCAAAGCTTTCATATCGTCCATGTTGCTATCTTCTTATATTAGACAGGTCCCATAAAATCTTCATTTAATGTTTGATATTAAAGTAAGAAACGAATAGGTGAGTCTTCATCTGCTGAATGTGACTATGGAATAGGAACAGGTTCTATTTTAATTTGCACTTATTACTATTTTTGGCGATTTTCAGTATAAGAAAATATAATAACACATTTTTAAGTCTCACTTGAGGAGTCAGAAGCAATAAACAATAAAACGTTAAATTTAATTACTTTGTTAATTGATTGCTGATGTTTACACCTTAATTATTATTTACAAAAAATATTGTTATTTATTAATGATTACAAATTAATATGTGATGAATGAATTATTTACAAAAATGCCATTAAGGGCAATGGAAGAATCTGTTTAAAATTGTTCTCATCTACATCCTAGCGCTTACTATAGCACAATTTTTTGCCGAAAAACTTTAAACGAAGATCTGGAATCATGTGTTCATGTAATTTTATAATTTAAAAAACTACATTTAGTGTTAAATATGACGATTGTAAACTTACGCTAGATATTCCTAGTTTCATTCTTTTGATGCCGCACAAAATTTCATTACATATTTTACACATTTTCAGTCAAATTTTCCAAAATTGAAAATTGCTCTTTTAGAACGAACGAATCTCCTATCGACGCAGCCAAAAATCTGGTCTTGATTGAACCATTACCTCGCACCTTTCATTGTTGATCTCTCTGCCATACCATTAAAATGCGAGTTTAAGCGAGCAACTTTTTACCAAAAACTAATTTACATGAAATTGCTTTTCATCACGCTAATTCGCAAAAACCTCCGCCGTACTTATTGTGCCATTTAATCGGCATCGGTCAACCATTAAAAATACAAATGGCCATGGGCGTGGGCATCAACTTACAAATGACTGCACAAATTGGAAATTTCTACATGAATGATGATTAACATTTATTCCTTTCAGTGGAGGAGTTATTTTTCCAAATGTTGTATACTGTTACGAAACAATGAGGATTAAATACGTATCTGAAATTTAATAATCAAGCCTTAATAAGTATATAAAACCAAAAAATAAACGAATATTATGTAATATAAGAACGAAGCTACAGGATATACGTTATTTTGATGATTATATGTAAATTTTAAATTTAAACGAATAATTTAGTCTGCATATCAGATCTTGTCGACAAGTTGCCTGCGTTGGAAAGAGAGCTATCTTAAAATGCGTTTTTTGTTAATCTCATTAACATAGTCAACTATATTTTTACTTTAAATCTATGAATTTGGGCATTTGTACCTTTTAAACGGAACAATAATGGTAAAAAGTTTAATGAGAGGGAATAATTTTACTTTAAAAGAGTGCTGTGATACACTGCTATTTTTCAAACTGTTCAATGTATGGTTTGGTCCATTGGAAGCATTTGGAAACATTTCGGAAAAACAAACAATCTTCAGGGATGCTAATAGATAAGTAAATCATAGGATTGAAAGAAAATCTGCGACTTGGGAGAAATACATTTGAACATATTTGGAGGATAATCTAACATTCCAACCAATGCAATAAACAACACAGCTCTATAAATAGCCAAGTGCGAAATTATTCAGACAATAAAAGCATCGAAAATTGGGAAAACGTTAAGTTAATTGCAGAAAATAGAAACTGGCTTTGGCTTGATATCCTCGAAATGCAGCTCCTCAAGATTATAATACAGGCAAAGTAGCATCAGACATCATAGCATTTTCAAGAAACATCGTTCTTCCCAATATGATAATTCCCAAATAATCAGTTTCGTGTTTTACAGTTTTCCTTGACACTTTTCCATTCACACAAGACAAGGAAAGCACATCATTAGGTGGATAACATTTTATTATAACCTGTCGCTCCAGAATTCATATCTGAAAAACACAACAATGAAGCTATTGTGCTTGAACATGTAAACGCATAAAGTCACATTTTAACGAACTTCCATTTATTTTCACAATATAAAAATATTTTACAATTCGCTATACACTATTCTAATTACATTAAACATTCTAATTGTATTAAACGTCGACAAAATACTAAATTTACATAATTTACAATAAATTTTGAAACTCAAATAGCAAATTAAAAATCGTTACAGTATTTTCTGACACTACAATGGATATTAATACCAATTTGTAATGTAAAAGTAGAATAATACATTGGATAATAATAAATAACTTATTGACATAAAAATATATTAAAGCAAGAAGGGCCAGCCTGTGACAATTTGATAACATTTCAATAATTTAAAGCTATTTATATACAGCGGCAAGCTCTCCTTTGGTTTTCTAAATAAACATTGGTATTTTATGCAAATATTCACTATTATTTTGAATACATGTAGAAATCTCAAATAGTTAAGTACAATAATTATACTATACTTTATTTATGTTAGGAAGAATTAAACAGGTATGCTTTTATTGATGGTTGATCATTAAAACTATTTGATTTTGTACTAAGGCAGTCTAAATCTATTAGAGTTAAAGAAATTAATTTTGATCTACACATACTTACGATTTTTTATATTTAGCGCAAATAAAATACCCTCCAGCCTGTACTGTAGTACTTTTACTCTATATTTTTCAGTGTTAAAATCGTAAATTTTCAACCCAGTGAGATAATATGACATATAAGTGTCGATGTTAAGTTGCTGAACGAAACGAATGAAACGAAGAAATTTCCATTTGTAAGACCTAAGTGCAATTATGTAGTATCATCTAGTGAATACACTGTAGGTGAGGACGACCCTGTATTTTCTCCAGGTGGCAAAGACAGCAAAAAGAGGGCAAGTTAACCGAGAAGTTGAAAGGACTCGATGAAGGAATTATTGTCAAACATTTCAAACAAGTATCAGATTATATCGTTATTTGCTGCAGCTTGCTAAAATTGACAAAACATTTTAAATGTTTTTAGATAACAGAAACGTAATAAAAAACTGCTTGCAAAACAATCACAATTTGATTAAAACAAAAGTTTTCTTTTTCTTTCTTTCTTCTTTCTTTCAGTTTTTTTATTTATCCCCTTTAACGTGAAATAAGTCGGGAAACACTTCCATTAGGATTCACATGGAACACAAAAGAGCAATACATTTTTCTTTGGTTAAAAGCAGTAATTTGACGTGTACGAAATATCAAGAAAAATATTACCTGAAAACAAAAATGTAGCAAAAAACTTAATGAATCTGTTGGCCACACTTTCAAAGTTCTTTCAAAGTTTGGAAAATGAAAATGCTCAACTTGCATAGGTTGAATAGGTTGCAACCTCCTCAATAATACAATTTTTCTACTTTACCCAAACTATCCAAGTTTAATCACTTTCCTAAATCATTTTCACATACAAAAGAAAGCCAGTTTTATTCCTTTCCTCAGTTAAGCTTGATGGCAAATCTCAATTATCCACTACTTTCTTTCCAGAAAATTACGATCTACACATGCACTAACAGTTCGTCTGCACATATTTAATTCTCTCATTATAGTAATAATATCACAGTCTGTGGAAACATCCATAAATACTGAATGATCAATCGAGGTAGAAAAAATTTTAGCGTCAAAATTACACATTACCGTGTCCTAAGCAACAACAAACTGACAAACAACACAATCAAAGACACTCTTAAACATTCACTTGAAGAAGTCCGTATGACTTCAGGCGTTTGTTCCGAATGCACATTCACAGTTGGCGTTGTGGCATTATAGCGATGATGCGCTTTATGGAAACAGAGTTTTTCCATATTCCGTTGAATTTTTGGACAATCGTAATCTTCTTTGCCATCGCATGTGCACATTTTCAGTTGCTGTGCTTTTTCTTGTCTTCTAAGAATACTGATGGAATTGTGGCATTTCGGAGTGCACTTCTTCCCATGAAACATTGCCTTGCAGTTTCTCTGGTAGTAGTCGAATGCAGTCGCACATGCTGCATTTGCGTTGCAGATTCGCTGTGCTATTCGACAAGCAACAACCGGTTCATTGATGGTTTTGATCACACTCGGCTTACAAATTTCGGTTCGTTCCTTCTCGTGCTGGCAATAAGGGTCACTACATTCACACTGTAACAAAACAAATTTGTGTTATACTTATTCAGAAAAGTTAAACATTTCGTTCTAATAATCGGAAATCCATCATTCGAGGTCAAATGTACATCTCAGAGACTGAAATTAGTGGATAACTTATTATTTTCTATGGCTTTGAAAGTAGATATTACAATTTTTTTTAGATGAAGAATTTAATAAGTAATTTAAAAATTTCAATTCAAGTGCTACAATTTTGCTGCGATCTATCAAATAAGTTACTGCTTCGTATGTATTGCTATCGCCATTTTTTATTTGCAATATGTATAAAAATTTAACATAGGAAAAATTGAAACGATTTAGATTATAGTGATTAATGGGGCCGGTTAATTAAAATTGCTTTATTCTAACACTAGTCGTAATACGTTGACAATAAAGTTACTTTACAGTAAATATGACACGATTTGGTTGAATACTCGACACTTTTTGATTTGCCTCTACATTTTTTATGCAAAACCTTCAAAGAAAAAATGACACAATTACAAACATCAGGTCATGTATATTATATTTCAGTCACGTGCTTATTTTAAAACGTTTACTAAATTAACCAGCCACAATATTCAACAATTAAAATTCTTAGATTATTATTATTAGAGGAATTCCTTATTTTAGGGAATAGTAGATTATGTATCTCAAGCATTCATTTTTGTGAGCTCAAATAATGTAGATGCCGTTTTTTATAACTACAGCAGAATCTTTTTGGCGAACCGGAATATTACGATGAATATTCGATTGTTCTCATCCCCAGATTATTTAGATACATGCATGCGATCTTTCATTACCCTGCATGTTTGAGGAATTTTGCATTCTTCTGTTAAAAAGCAAGAAAGCTAAAAAGTTAAATTAAAATAAGAATTTTGAAACCACGTCATGTAAACATATATTTATTTGCATGAAATTGACGCAAATACTCTGAAAAGTCTAGACTGTTACTAATGCAAAAATCAGGTGGAAAGCATCTGGCTATAATCCAAGCTCTACCACATCGAGTAATTCGGAGTGGCTGACGAGAGATGAATGATCCTGAAGTAGTGCGGTATGCTTTGATCTTGTACTTGTTTACATATTAAAAATGTACTCAGTGATTTTGAAGTGTTCCGAGCTTATGAATATAAATTAATCTCACTTCAGGGATTCGCGCTCTATATGCATACACTTTACCGCGGAAGCAGCCTCAATAAATCACAGAAGAGGAAAAATTTTACTAGCTGATCTCACTACCATTTTGTTCATATGGTTATACTTACTTCCATAAGAGCTTTTCCTTCTTCCGTTGATACAAGGGCGATTAGAGAGTATTCGCAAACTTTCGGACAGTAATCAATAGCTGATTCTTGAAGAACCAATGAACACCCAACCATGTAGTTTTGCAGAGCTTTCCCACATCCCACCCTGTACATGCATTTCATTCGTGCTTCTTCGCAGGGAATCCCATAGACAACTGTTGCAAATGCAACCACTGGTAGCATTGTGAACCACATACCGACTGGAACAAAACAAAATAATTTAAATGACATAACTGGAAATATACGAAAAACAATATTTAATTAAAAAAACGGTAATTCTTGTCGCGTAAACTTGACTCACGTTATTAAGCTGTATTAAAAAATGATTGATATTTGCACTTGACTCAAGTACACAATAAGATATTGGTGAGCAGTGAGCACTTGTGACAACGCAAGAAAATAATGTTTTTATTATGACATCGGAACAACTGTGATCGTTTAATTGAAATCGATTAATATAATAAGACATATCCCTATAGAATTACGAGTACTTCAGTGTTCCACTGTATATAAGTGCGCTTTCGCAAAATCAAAACCGATTTTGTGTTCTTTTTGCTCAGCTAAGCGTGTCACATATTGCTAAATTTAATACTTTCGAGTTGGCTCTGTAACTTGATTTAAATATATTTTAAGATAACATCCTGCCACTGTTCAGGTATTAATTTATACCTATCTTGTTTACAAATATAATTTAATTGCACATTTATATTGATGTCTGATTTGTAACTGTTTAACATACACTGTTAACACTCTCTTATCATATTTATAAATATACATAAGCTGGTTCATTGGCAAATCACTATTTCTCAAGATATATTTTACTTATATCGCCCAATAGAAGTATTCATAAATTATGATATTTACGAATCGGTTTTATACAGGGTGCACCAACGAAAAGGTAAAAAAGCGGAAATCTACGTAACTGGGAAACTACGAGTTTTATGTAATTTTTTGTTGATGCCAGAAGTTTTTAGTAAATTGGGTACAGCATCATACATCCATATTCAACCATTTTAATTTAATTTGCGTTTGTAGTTGCACAACGTTAGAAATAATTAAGAGTTATTTGGAAACTGGAATTTCTGCTAGGATTTTCTGCTGCTCCCGTTCATTTAACCGTTATTCTGAAAAATCACAAATTTTATCCATACAAAATAAAAGCAGTACATGAGCTCAATGAAGATGAGTATGATATAATTATGGAGTTCTGGCAACAATTGACTTGACGGTCTCTCAAGACAAGACATGTATTGTATAAGTATGTAATCAGTTTTCATGCACTGCTAGTATTTTCTGAAATATTAACAATGATAGTATGCTTTTTCCTGCACTTTAAACGCACTGGCAATTTTTAAGTAATATTCTAGCATAGAACAATATATTTTTAATTGTGACAAAATGTATTAATACAATTTTTTTTCTAACATTCCAGAAGGTCTGGAAATGCTGTTGAATCAGGTAAGTTTTGATTGCATATTTAAACTAATTGTTCTAGATAAAGTGCAACGGTAAACAAAGAAAACCATTTTATTAACTCCAAATAATTTTAAACATGTACAATCGGATGCTTTAAAATTCGTATATTTGAACAGCTATACAGTAAAATTATACAATGATCCTTCAAGTCATAGCACTGATTCTCAAAATCTGATGATGATTGATTTTATTTACAAACGAAATGAGATGACTTTGGAAATTTTTCTGTCCTTTGCCATATCCTTTTTGTTTTGTTAAATATTAACAACGTTCCTTGATTTGAGCTTGATACCTAACAGGTGTAGTAAGCTCATTAAATAAATAGAAACCGACAATTACTTATTTTAGAAGATACAAGGTTTGAAAATTTATATCCAATCCAGTAAGAACAACTGGTTCATTATCGTGGCCTTTGATAATTTTGCGATAAGAAAATGTAGGAGAGAAAATGTGGACTTCCATCACATCGAAGTAGTGAAAACACTTAAACACATTGCACGAATACAATGAGTAAAGCAAAGTTGCAGCAAAGTGAATTTTCCTTTATTGGTATTAAATTGTAGAAGTTTCATTTCATGGGTTTAAATCCTGAAAGCACCTTAAACACTAACGATTCCGCTCTCCACGAAAGTGTTTGTTTTCACATCTTTAAGTGCTGGTCCATCACTTTATTCAAAATAAACATACCTTAATTTATTATTGTCATTTTCAATTATAATAGAGACATTGATATTTTATAGGATTCAATGGTTGCTATAAAAAAGTTTTACTCACGGCTAAGCAGAATAATAATTTATTTCACTCACACTACATGGCAAATTTAAAGTTTCCCGATCTTCGAAATACGTCTGTTAATGTTTAGCTTGAAATTGTAATTTATTGCAAATTTAACTGCATATTTCCTACGTCTGATAGTCAATAAATTGAACATTAAATATCGATTAACGATTATGTCATCACCGATTATGTTAGAATTTATTTACATATTTAATAATGGTTATTTAGATTTTTACCCGATTTTTATAAAGCCAAATGGGGTGTAAACTAATACGTATTATAATTATTTAAAAATTTCGAATAGTGTTCGCACTTCAATTGATGAATTATTAACTAAATGAGTAACTCCAGATTTTAATTTATTATGTATCCAATACAACAACAATATCTGCCGCATTTAGCCGTCTACATACATATTTAGAGTAAATTGGCTCAAACTGAAACATTTCTTATTTGGTAAAACGAAACTTATTTAATGTTTCAATATTCAAATAATAATACTTGATTATAATAAAACTTGATTTAATTATATCTTTTAAATCATAGCAACGTAACTTACTATAGTTGATTCAAATATATGTCTTTTAAATAACACCTCACAACTAATATCGAAAATAAATGCACTTAGTCTTCGCGATGCCAGGGAGAGTAAAGCTGGAAAACGACTAAGCAACAATTACCTTAACTGAATGTTGAAATATTCCTCAATAAAAAAATTGTTTGCTTGAAGCTCCAACCAGTAGCGGAACACTGAGAGATCACTTACACTACAAATCATGATAAGATTTAATTTTGATTCCAAGCTAAGTCAGAAAGTCTTAGGAATGGTAGTAGGATAGGTCTATAGATAGTTCGATATTTGGCAAAAAAAATTCCGTCTAAAATGAATGTCTTGTTATAGAAATAAGAATAAGAAATATTTCTGATTCATGAGGATTCCAGTTCATATTTGGAAAAATTAAATAGGATAAAATAAAAGTCAAAAGATACCTAACATGTTTTATTTTTGAGGAGTTTTCACTGAAATATTTATTAAGGTTATATGATTTTAGAAATTAAATTTTTTTTCTATTGTTTTAAACTCCTTTCAGCACTAGAAATAATAATAACTGCCATTATTAAAGTATTAAAAGTTAAAATAATATTTAATGCTCTTATCTAATTAGTATAACTTGCATTGTTACTTTTAATTTGTCGGACAATAGAAATTCATTCTATTTGTGACATTGGCCTTAGATTCGGCGAATATGATGTAAAATGCGGAGTTGATTTTGCTGAACAGTGCTATGTCGCTATTTTGATTTTTTTTTTGATTAATAATAGCATTTTTCACTTTCATCACTTAAATTTTCTAATTGGAAGAAAATTTCGCGTATTGCCACTGGCGAAATTCCTAGTCATGGGTAGCTTACTACAGCAACGGGGTACTACGTGACACACATCACGGTTTCATTATAAATTAATTGAAAAACTTCTTAATTGAAAAAGTGCCAACGCAAATCGGTTATCTTCGTTTAAAAACATGCAATTGCAGAGTTGATATGGAAGCATTACAACACTCCTCATTTTGTCTATGTCATTAAGTCAACGGATGATTGCCAATAATTTAAACATCGATTTGTCGATATGAGAAATTAAACTTACTTCAGGTACTACTTTCAGCTGTATGTGAAGGATACGATATCAGAGAGGCAAGGTTAAGGTCAGATAAAATCGGTCGTAAAATAGCAGACTCGAATCTGAAAGGTTAATTAGCTATTTCCCACTTTAAAGGTCGGTATTCATGGAGTTGTACACACATTTTTTAAATTTTATGTGCTTTTCTATTTAAGTCATAACTGATTATCCAATCTCGTATAATTTAACATCAAAACAATATTTGCATCTGTGATGACGCTATGTGAGAAAACGCGATGATAGAGAATGATATGTTAATTATATAAAGTTAATGATTACGGCCAACCTCAGTCCGCAATGCTTTGTTTCGAATATGCAAATAATTAAAATGTATTGAAAAGGAGCGTGCACATTTTCAGTTAATCTGCTAACTTCCTGCTGCTTTATTCACAGTAGGTACCTAGTAGGTATTGCTGGTTGGTCAATATATGCGTTTCGAATGTAGTTGTTAGGGCTGGTTAGTTAAATATTTGAAAATGTACATACTTGGTTGGAAGGGAAAATCAGCTTAGGTGTAGAACTATATATTTGTTTTATTATTTTACTGCATTTTTCTTTACTTTTTTATTTATTTACTAACATATTTCAACATATAAAATACCTTTCATTTTCTTTTTCAAATTGCTCGTTTAACTTTAATATGTATACTATAGAATTGCTAAAAATTTGAGTACCTACTCAAAATTGAAGTAGCTAAATAAAAAGTGGCCTTCAAGATCTTATGTGGGTCTGTTTAATTTCGAGTGTGTTTGTCCATTTTGAGGAAACAACAGATAATGCATTAAAACATTTGTATTTAAAAGAAATAAAAATAGCTGGCCTTTAGCGGTTGCATATTGTCATTGATAAAATACTTCGTTAAGTAATTCGCCTCAACACAAGTCAGACTCAGACAATTTGGGATGTTTATTAATTAAGACCTGTATCTGTGTGTGTGTGTTTGATTACGTAACAAATGATCTACATTTAAAGTTGCACGTAGTCACTAATCAGGTAAATTACTACCACATAGATCAATAATGCATGAATTCGTAGTGAATTATGTAGAATATTAATGAAAAACTCTGGGTTTTTGATTATGTACATTGAAAATGGAACTTTGAATTAGATTAATGTTTCTGGCCCATATCGAACTAATACGGACACAGATTTATTTCTATTCGCTAACTGGGGCTTTGCTTGACGCAAAAACCGCTATTTGGCCATGTATTTAAGGTTTTGTCAAGGATTTAGTTGATTAATATTCCGAGCTATATCCAACAACGCTTTA